AATTGCTTTATATTACATTTTATAAAGGAGTTATGCGAAGAACTATGTTTTTAAGGGTTGTTCAATTATGCATGCTTTCTTTGTTTTTAAGTGCTGTTCAATTATGCACACTTTCAATTAATTAGTGAAATAATGGAACCAATGAAATATCCCTACGCCAAAAATATTTTAGTATCGGAATATTTTTGGCAAATCTAGAGATACAACATTGGATTTTAAATACCGTATTGTTCCACACAAAAAAAAAAAAAAACACAAAAAAACAAAAAACACCTGATCCTAAATACCACCACCAGGGTTTCTTTCAGTTATCTCTCTGGGAGGGCACTGCCCCCCCCCCTAAACCCATCCTGGGAAAGTCAAGTGCCCACCCCCTAGCAAAAATTGTTACATCAATATAACAAAATATTTTTTTTTAAAAATTAAAAATGACTAAATTGTCCTTGTTAAGAAGCATAGTAACTGATGCATTTAACCGATTACATTTAGTGGAATCTATAACATATCGCTACGTTCGATATATTTGATGATTCTTATACTTAAGGCTAATCTTGTTATAGTATTCGGTTATAAATATCGTACTGTTCGCTCACAGACTTACTTCCTGTTGTTCGCATATATATCGCAATTTTTATTGGGTTTTGTTTATTTCAGCTTCACAAGTTCAAAGAATTTAATGAAACCGTATTCAAATACAATTACATACCTTTAAAGGTCTACAATTTTAATAATAGTTTCTCAAGTATCAAACATGTGCATTTTTTTTTTCTTCCTCAAATTATATTTCATCATAAAAGCTTGATTTTTAAGGTAAGGATAGGTGCTAATTACTTTTTTTCTAATTCGGAATTTAAAGGGCACATACAAATAATGCACGTTTCATCAATTATTATTGTACCGAAAGTGTTTTGCTTTCTGTAAAAGTGCTACTTTTGTTAAAAAGTTAAAAAATACTTAGCCTATATTTAACATTATTAACTTCCCAGCTGCTCTTCCTGTTTTAATATCATAACTATGAACAAACTGCCCCATCTATTTGCGCTCATTTTTATATATGATTAATTTCATTTTAGATGAAAATCCAGTAGAAAGCTAAGACAGAAAGCTTTTTGTAACTAAACTAGCATTTCGATTACCATGCCCATTCCGTTTTTTTTTTGTATTAGCTTTAGAAAAATTTCATATAACCAATTCGTCAATTTAAAATAGATTTAGTTAAAATATTTTAAGGTATAGCGAAAAG